TGTAGAAAAATAAATGAGTGAATTTGAACAATGCCGCACACTCACCCCAGCGAACACCATCACTTACCCCCACACAGTTGTTGCTGGCTTAGTGGAGTTAATATATTTAGGATATTTTTACAGTAAATACCATATTTTAAGGCTGTTTTTGAATACTGAAACTAAAAACTTGTCAGTAATTAGTGAGAACATAGAAGTTTGTGCAATGATGTAGTGGATAAGAATGTTATACAGCATTGTTTTATGTACTGTACTGTACATTCCTGTAAGTGGATATAAGTTTGTATTGAAAAAATGAAGTCCCAAGCCACTTTGTGTAAAAACAGGATTTTATTGTGTGTATATATATATATATATATATATATATATATATATATATATATATATATATATATTGATAACTACAAAGAAGAGACACATAAGTTCCCAAGCGCTTTCGTGTAATTCACATCTAGGGTGAGTACAGACTAAGGAGAAGTACAAAACAAGGTGTATATATACAGAGGAGGGTGAGATCAGGTCCCAATGGTCTGGTACAGATAGACCCCGACTAACGACAGTTAGGGACCAAATCCAGGTCAAGTCCAACATTGATAAAAAAAAAAAAAAAAAAAATTTAAATAAAAACTACAATGAAAAGTACAGTAAAAGTAATGAATAATGAGGAATGGATACAGTACAGAAAGTAATAAATAATGGAATGGATGTGTGACCAGCACTTACCTTTAATGTAGTCATTGAAGGCAACATGGGCCCCTATAATTTTCTAATTATACATGGAGACTACATTAACTGGAAACGCTGTGTTAGAAAATATGCGTCTTTTGGAAAAGAAAGAAAAAAAATATAAAAAATAAAAAATCTGCGCAAGTGTTTTGGGTCTAGCTGTATTAGGTAATGACCCACTAATTTTAACAGCATCACAGGTTAGTACGTGTCAGAGGCAGACCTTCTCACCTGTTTACAAATCTTCTTAATTACAAAATTGTCCAGTTGTACATGCCATTACTCAAATTCATGTTGAATGTCGGTATGTTTAATGAGACTAGATTCATGATTCCTACTATCAATTGAATTATAAGGTAATATAGGCATTATCCCAGTCAATGCTGCTTGTTATCCCTCAAATGAACAAACAGACATTGGATTCCCTGTCCCAACACTATATTTATGTTGTTTAAGTCTAGCTACAAGATCTTTACCGCCTAAGAAACATATACATTCCTTGAAAGGAACTTTATAAATGCAACCAAGTTGTGGAGTTGATTAACATTTGTTTAACAGTGCGAGTTTTTACATTGACATTCCAGGTTTTAGTTGTAAAGGAATTTGAAAGAAATTTTTGTGAAATGGCAATATAAAGATATTCTGGTCATGGTACGGATTAGTTCTATAAAAAGATTTCTTAGTAATGTTCAGGCATTTGTCTAGGATCTAGGTATTTAAGGTTTTATATATATATATATATATATATATATATATATATATATATATATATATATATATATATATATATATATATATATATTACATTTCATATATATATATATATATATATATATATAGATATATGCCTGAACATTACTAAGAAATCTTTTTATAGAACTAATCCCAAGCCCACCCATGACCATAAGAATATCTTTATATTGCCATTTCACAAAAATTTCTCTCAAATTCCTTTACAACTAAAAACCTGGAATGTCAATGTGGCATTTAAAAAACTCATGCACTGTTAAACAAATGTTAATCAAGAACTCCCCCAACAACACAATTTGTTGCATTTATAAAGTTCCTTGCAAGGAATGTAATATGTTTTACTTAGGTCAGACAGGTAAAGATCTTGTAGCTAGACTTAAACAACATAAATATAGTGTTAGGACAGGCCAGGAATCCAATGCTCTGTTTGTTCATTTGAGGGATAACAAGCATTGCATTGACTGGAATAATGTCTCCTCAATATTACCTTGTAATTCAATTGATAGTAGGAACATCATAGAATCTAGTCTCATTAAGCATACCGAAGCATTCAACATGAATTTGAGTAATGGCATGTACAAACTGGACAATTTTGTAATTAAGAAGATTTGTAACCAGGTGAGAAGGTTGGGTCACCTTACCCTCTGACCTGACTACCGACCGTTGCGGTGCTATTTAAAGATTAGTAGGGTCATTACCTAATACCTGACCATTGTGGACCTGATCTCACCCTCCTCTGTATATATACACCTTGTTTTGTACTTCTCCTTAGTCTGTACTCACCCCTGAAGATGTGAATTACACGAAAGCGCTTGGGAACTTCGTGTTTTCTTCTTTCCTTGTGGTTATCAGCATATACCTAGATCACGCGCACCTACAGTGATTTACTTGCATATATATATATATTAAATTACACTCATGTGATAAATAATGTATTGATGAAAAACCACCTTTCTTAGAACTATGTTTATTCTGTGTAAATGTTTTGGTGAATCACTCAGCCTTGTCAACACACAGCTGCTACAAACTAACTGAAGCCCAAAAGGAAAATACACCTACAACACCTCAGACAACATCACCTGACGTCTACCGGTAGGTATAGTGAGGTCACTCCTGGTGGATCTGGAGTACAGTACAGTACTGTATTGGGATTATCCCTAAACTTGCAAATGTGACCTTTATGGTTCAAATGTTTGTATAGAATGCTCTTAACAATATAATTAATTTTGAACTGACTTTCAGAGATATTAAAGTTGCTTCAATACTTTTTTTTCTATTGAATCCTGAGAATTAGAGTAAAACTGGGTTATTTATTTCCACAGGGCAATTTTCTTGTAACAAATAGCTGTATTTGTTTTTATTGCCAACCCTGACGTCTCTCTTTTGATAATAAAATCTATCATTCAATGCTTCCCCGTTTCACCAATACTATAACTTTAGAATAGTGTTCATCATATACTGCGCACAATTATTCCACCACCATCCTGTTTGGGCTTATTCCTTATTAGTTTCCTGCCAATAATGTTTGGATAGTTAAAGGTAACATTGATGTTATTATCATTACATACGGTACATCTTTCATGGCAACAAGACTTGGATTATAAGGTAAAACAATATTTAAAAGTTAATAACATTATTTGTTGACATTGTAGAAAAATTTCATGAATTTAAGATGAGCCATTTTAACAGACCACTGAGGATATGCTACAGTAGTTCTTTGATGATAGAGAAAAATCTTATCAGTTTCAGATGACAGGTCAGAAAGATCCCAAATTATATAAGCTCTTAGAGAAATGGAAGATATATAATGGCTAGTTTCACAGAATCATGAACTGAAAAGTTAAGGGATAAACCTAATACTGTACCCCAAATCCACCAGGTAACTAGATTCACCAAACCATGTAGACAGAATAAACAAAGAGTAACTTCCTATTTCCATTATCACCATAAAAGAGCCAATAAGAAATAAAGATATTTGTTGAATTATAAAACTTGCAAAGATGAAAAACTGTATCAAGTAGAAACCAATGAAAAGTAATAAACATAACAATTTGTCTATGACTTAGTTAATACTAAACTTAGAATTCACACAACAATAAGATCCTTGATGTTCTTCCATATTTCAGCTTATATGCAGCACAGCACAGCACAGTACTGTACAGCACAGTACAATACAGCACAGCATAATACAGCAGAGTACAGCACAGCACAGTCTTGTATACAACATGGAATGAGGGAAAACTTGAAGGGTCTTACCATTCTTATCAATACAGTATTCTAATTAACAGGATCTCATAAAATTTACTAGCGAGATGTCACCATGTACGGTAGATATAAAACACTCATATAACCTTCAAAACTCACACAAGATTAAAGTTATCAAACCATTGGTGTTTAGTTGAATTATTTATAAAATATGAAACACCAATAATCTGAACTGTTAGAAAAAGCACTACATATACTGTACTTACATTGTGTAAGCAATATGAATATTTTCACTTTTATGTAAATCTGAACCTAATTGTTCCAAAAAATAAAGCACAGGGGCAAGTGTAGTTTGTCCTCATGAGCAAGAGGCATTTTGATCATTGGGAGGACACCAGCACAGGCAGAAGATATTAAAATGCTGTATCAATGAGATGCTTGTATAACCCATTAGAAACCTTCAAAGAAAAGTTTCAGAAAGGCAATTCCTTCTAATTACAGGAATATGAACCTCATAGACACCCCAGATAAGGTTGACAATGACTAATCCTGTTCCTTATGAACAAACATGGAAGCCTTTGTTATTATTCCTGTGTAAAATGAACAATGGTGTAAGGACATACCTTCATTCATGTACTTGGAAGTATTCAGTTCTTAAATTAGTTTTAAGATGATCAACAAGCTCTCCCTCTGTTTAAAACATCGGGGTAGAACTTTATTTCTCTTAATAATTACAACAATACTTTATATTCTCTACAGATATTGAAAGTTTTGTAAAGAATTTAATATCTACTCTACTGTACTTTTTATCATATGTTCACATCTGCAATTCAATTTTATAGTATTGATGCTTCACATGGCAGTTAGTAGTTATTAAAACTGACATTTCATATATGAAATAGACACTTTATAAATTCACTATTATTAGTTTTTTTAAACACCAAATGACCAATAATGATAAAATTTAGGCATCATACATGCAGAGTAATTTTGAACAGTCATTAATAATGAGAGTTCTGGTTGATGCAATTTTATGTACTGCAAGTAAAGAAACACGAGAGAATCTGTTTAAATTCTTACTAAAACAGATAGCTTTGAGATCATCACTTACTGTACAGTAGCTGTAGCCTGCAGTAACTTAGTTCCCATATGGAACATGCAAAATCCTCTAAAATTCAAAAATAAGTTTATTAGTTTCTAACTAGAGATTGCTGCTCAAAAGGACTTCATATGACTATTCTAAAGCTTGTTCCCAAAGAGCTTTACTTCCAAGGCCATCTTATCACTAAGAACCTTGGCACACAGCAACTGTAGTTATGAAAAAAAAAAAACTAATATCTACTGTGACCATCAACCCCCACAGTCTTGTAATCACCATACCATACATTTAGTTAACATAATTAGGAAGATTAAATTCTTCTCTAACCATCTGAATCTATAATAATCACTCTAGTTAGGTAAGATCATGTACTTTTTAAGTGTATAAAGACAGATGAAAACTTCATAATTTCAATACTCAATATTGATCTATGCTATGAAGTTTCAAGTTCTAGCAACCTTGTAAAATTATCTAAACACCCTTCTAACTTTTTACCTATCACACTAAGTCATGTGTCCATTATCAGTGTGATCAGGATGCACTGTCAACTAGGATGTGTCATTTAACTGGTAGATGTGTTTGTAGTCCTCTTACCTGTAAGAAAAAAAGGAAAATATAGTCAATAGTTACTTAAGTTTCTTATATATAAATTAATATCTCTATACATCAAAGAAAAACGTTAAAAACAAATCTTCACAGAGTACATTAAAATCACCATAAGCATCCAGGCACTTTTGAATTTTTTAAGGAGACAACTAATCTATCTACTGTGTATACTCTGTGGTTTATAATACAGTACAGTGCAGTGCAGTATACACTAACAACATTGTGACACACTAAATTATAACTGGCCTCAACATGCTTATCTAGGGGGGGGGGGGGGGTAGTTTTTATTTTCTTCATGAAAATTTTGGCTTGAAAAGGAAGGCCATGTTAGTTCCCAAACCTGCTTGCCTAACACACACATGTTCTCAAACAGTTGTTGTTAATGATGATGTGCTTAACCCATAAATGGCAACTAAATATTTCCCACTCCCCCCCCCTCATATCTGCAAAACAGAAATGCAATCCCTACAGCTAGCTTCCATTGATGATGGCTACCGTCCCCACAGCTAACTTCCATTGATAATGACCGCCGTCCCTACAGCTAACTTCCATTGATAATGACCGCCGTCCCTACAGCTAACTTCCAATGGTGATGGCTGCCTTCCCCACAGCTAACTTCCATCGATAATGACCGCCTTCCCTACAGCTAACTTCCAGAAATTAATGTTCAATAAAGCTTGTATCTCTCATACTTTGTCCTGGGTTCAAATCCTGGTCTGACAGATGTAGAAAAGTGTTATCCAGCGTGACCCTCACTACCAAACATGGCAGGTTTTCTCCGGGTACAGTACAGTACTTTGGTTTCCTCATGTACTGTACTGTACTTTACTGTACTGTACTGTACTAACATGGGACAATATCAAATTACCAAAAAAACAGACCAGACACCCAAATGACTAGTGTGGTGTTAAGAGCTGAAATGAGAATTAAAATAAATTTCATGTTTTGGGAAACAGTTGTACAGCTTACCTGGTTAAAGATCACTTGGAGGAACACACAGAAGGCTGTCAAGTACAAGGTTATACTTGGTTCATTTACAACTGAACTACTTAAGAGTCCATGAGTATTTCTTCCAGCTTTAAGATAAGGAATAATTCCGTCATAGTCATATTCCGTGGCCTCAAATCCATTGTGAACCTGAAAACAACAACAACAATAGACTCAAACTGCAATGGTTCTACTATACTGTACTGGCTTGTGGTACAGTCTAAAACTTTCATCTCTCTTAACTTGTTAAAGAATTCTTGTACTGATATTCCTGATAAATGTTATCTTGTACTGTACATAACTAGTGTGTCTCAGAAAAATATATACAAACTGCCTTAACAGATTTTAATGGAAGTCACATGATAGCTTGTACTACAACAGCATGTGATGTCCATAAAAATCTGTTAAGGCTGTGTGTATACGTTTCTCTGAGAAACCTTACATTGGTATACATTTTAAAGGTGAACTCTTGTCCTCATGTGGAGCTGTGGATCCCCTAAAGACAAAGCTAATGAAGCTGTGTACAGTGTCCAGTCTTTTTGAAACTAAAACATCTTTCCCATGTCCTGCCTGTGTGTGTATGTGTGTGTGTGTGTGTATGTGAAGATCAGAAGGGAGGTGCATGTGGGTGGTTGTCATGCCTGATGCTAATATTAAAAATACAAATGATTTATGTTGTACCTGTACAATGTAATTCAAATGAGGTTTATGGGATCTGAGATGAACATGAAGAGAAGTATTTAATGTTAACTTTTGTGTAAGATGGATCAGCACCAGGTGAATATAACCTTGTTTATCTTGGCTCCTCACCTGGATTGACTTTGGATCAAATACATGAACAACAGAGTCCTGGGGGTCAAGGGGGCCAGCAATAGATGAATTACTGTCTTCCAAAATATCTATTGTGTCGGGCCAATCTTCACTTATGTTGTCATCCTCTTCCTTTTCGTCGTCTTCATAGTCTTTACAGTTTTCTTGGTCAGGCTGCACCACCACCAGGGAAGTTAATGGAGTCACAAAGTGATTCTAGAAAATGCAATATAATTATGATAGTTTTATGATGTTTTAACAATATTGTCATAGCAGCAATATACAGTGAAGTACGTACACGTATAACAACCCCCCCCTCCCACACAGTAAAACCTCCATTTACAGGACATCAATCTAACGGGTACAGTGCGTTATATGGAGGTTTCACAACTAGCATCCCTTGATATAATGGACTATACTCTCCTATATAGTCCGTTAATAGAGTTCTCAACTGTATTGTACTACTCAATAACTCCTCGATCATGGCAAGGCCAGAGGTCAACTGTCTGACCTCTTAATAACAAGTATTGTGACAACTTGCTAGCTTCCATGCCACATATTTCCTTCTGTAATAACACTGGACAATGAAGGTAACAAAGAACAGACCAACTGCCTGGACAGCCAAACTGATGATAAGAGGTGAAATAAATAAAATAAATTCAATATTCTAACCTTTTAGTTCTGAGCATGAGCTGTTTAGTGATTCAAATTACTAATCATTCTCAACCATCCATAAACATACTCTACCTGTACATATACAGTATAAAACTCTTGCACACCTTTTAGCTGCTCCATATGCTGTATTTCTATCATAACTCTGTCTCATTTCTTATGTAATATCTAGAATTTGAAACATACCGTAGTAATACTATACAGTCGAGTACAATACTGTACAATGATCCCTCGGTTAACGAGATTTCGGTTAACGAGTTACCTTCCATAAGATTCTTAACTTCAGTTAACGAGCAATCCCTCGATTAATGAGTTTTTTACGAGCCGACCTAAACATGTTTTCGCTTGCATTTGGCGGTCCACCAGCTGTAGTATTAGTCTGCCAATACAGTAATCGGTTTTAGGGCTTAAATTCCTTACTATTTTAGTAAATATCAAGAAGTATATACTATTCAATAATTTTAAAAGTTTAATATTAAATTTTTTAGTCATTTTAACAATTGTTGAACATAATTGAAGGTAAGGAAATTAGTTTCATGTGCGCCATCTAGCCTGGCAACACACCAAACAGGCGCCAGTCTCTCTGTCTTTTCAGTGGAGGGAACATCTTGCTTGAGACTCTCTTCAACTAAATGCTTTTTTCTTTGTTTCCAAGCAAATTATTAGTCATTTTGAAATTAGTTTACATATTGACAATATATAATGCAGTGCAGTGTTGATTTAAAGAAAATAATCTTGAATTACACCAAGAGAACTAAAATTTTATGGGTGAAATGGCGCCATGGGGTGACTTCTCTTCCACCCCAATGCCTTCTCTTCTCCCTTCTCCTCCATCCCCATTCTAATTCCCATCATCATCAACATCATCCAGGAGCCTTCTACATACACACCTCAAAGTAAGTGTACTTTTCTACCTTTTTTGTTGAATTTAGGCAATTTTCGGTGAGCTGGAACCAACTACCCAAAAACCCATTGAAACAATGGTTTCGGTTAACAAGTTTTTCGGTGAACGAGCAACCTGCTGGAACGGATTGTGCTCGTTAACCGAGGGACCACTGCATTATAATTTTATAAATACAGTAGTACCCCGATTTACGCGGTCAATTGAACCCACAGGGTACCGCGTTAAGTGAAATCCGCGTAAATGGAACAACAGAACATATGGGATTAATTCCAATAGAGACTGGCCCGACCCCCAAACTCCACTTTTTCCGACACAATACCTATGTTGTAGTAAAAATAACATCTAAATTTTATGATGGTATGCTCACACAATTAATATTTAAGAGAAATACAGTCGCCAGGTTAATGTCCATTCAAATAATAGACTCAAATCCCCCCCCCACCTCTTCCCAGCTCACTGGCCCCTACCTCTCTGAGAAATGATTGGGTGAAACGCTAGATTTTAACGTTTAGTAATAAATAATACCTCAGACTAAAGTTAGGATAATAAAATTGACATTTCTGGATTCCTTGCAGGTCAGGGAATATTTTGAATGTAAACTTCATATATTTTGCACAAAAGATAAAATACTTGCTTTGTGTAAACCAAATTATTACATTAGATCTAAAATTTGTATGTCTAATGCAAAATCCATGATGTTTATATTCAAAATGATCAACATATTGTAAGAATTCCAGCAATGTAAATTATATTCTGGTCCAGTAATTTGTATGAATTTTACGAGCTAAAACAAATATTTCCAGTTAATAAAAAAAAAATATTCTTCACGACACTATCTGTCAATCAAAGTACCCCAACTTGCCTCCCCCCCTCTTCCAACCTTGCCAGATGGTTGGTCGGTCCCAACCTTCCCCCCCACCCCCCACCTTCCCTCCCTACCAGAGAAATGTTGGGTGAAAAAACTAATTTTAACTTTTAGTGACAAATAATACCTCAGACTAAAGTTAGGATAATATAATTGACATTGCTGGATTCCTTGTAAGACCAGGAACATTTTGAATAAAAATGTCATATATTTTGCACAAAAGATAACATATTTACTCAGAGTAAACATTACATCTAAAATTTGTATGTCTAATGCAAAATCTATGATGTTTATATTCAAAATGATCATCAAATTGTAAGAATTCCAGCAATGTAAATTATATTCTGACCGGGTAATTTGTATGAATTTTATGAGCTAAAACAAATATCTTCAGTTAATAAAAAAAAAAATATTCTTCACACCGTGCCAGATGGTTGGTCGGTCCCTCCCTCCCCCCCACCCCCCACCAACCCTCCCTACCAGATAAATGTGTGGGAAAACCAGAATATTTACCTTTTTAGTAATAAATAATACCTCAGACTAAAGTTAGGATAATATAATTGACATTGCTGGATTCCTTGTAAGACCAGGAATATTTTGAATATAAATGTCATATATTTTGCACAAAAGATAACATATTTACTCAGAGTAAACATTACATCTAAAATTTGTATGTCTAATGCAAAATCTATGATGTTTATATTCAAAATGATCATCAAATTGTAAGAATTCCAGCAATGTAAATTATATTCTGGCTGGGTAATTTGTATGAATTTTATGAGCTAAATTAAAAAAAAAAAATTATACTTCACGCGTATATGGTGTTACGAACCACGCCACCAATTGTCATGATCTACCTACCCAGCACTATGAACCACGCCATCTATTGTCCTGATCTACCTACCCAGCACCACGAGCAACGCCATCTAGGGACGAAACCCGATTATGACTACTCTTAGTTACCACTCCGGGGTTTCCCTTCTCCATATCCTGGTTGTTGCGTCACCTCCTCAAAGTCTTCTTCGTCAGCCCCAGTTCGATGAGAGAGCAGTTCACTCTGGGAGGTGACCACAGGATCACCTATCCTGGAAACCTACGGCGCAGTGACTACCTCCCGTCTTCTACAATACTCAGCCTTACTCGTCGGCCATCTCAGCTCCGCACTTAAGTATTTGTAATCTTATATTGCCTCCCCCACGTCCACTTGCTTCAAATTATTGTATGTTGTATAAATATGTATATACTGTTAATGTTTAGGTTAAGTATGGTTAAGGGTAAATTATAGAAAGCTGAATATTTTGTTAAGGAATTTATGGTACTTTATTATACACAACAAAAACTCGCATCCTTTGTCTACCCTTTTATAGTCCGATTGTCTTTGTTTTTTTGTTGTTGTTGCCTGTTGGGATCTGGGTAGACTTTTAACTATATTCTAAATCCCCAACTCGTAACAAATGGCGACCGTGACAGGACCGAACATTAAGTGCCATATTCCTTCCCCCCTTGTTACTCCTTGTTAATTATTCCTCCCAGTCACTTCTGTTCACAATTGCTTTACGGTGGTTTAAAGTTCCTTCATATGTGTGTGCATATATTGGTATTATCGTACAGTAAGAGTGACAGACGTAGGATATTAGGTTCCAAGTGTCATAAGGCTTACCTGTTATTACACGTGGCAGTCGTGTAGTAAGTCTTATCGAGTGTAGGGAAGAATCCGGATCTGTTTAATGCCGTACCCTCGCTCCAGAGTAGGCTGTTCCATAGTCACTAGTTTAGGGTGAAGTGATATCTTGGGACGCCCCGCTCTACCAGGACCCCATAATTATAAAGCCTCCATTATTGTTCTTCTCATTATCTCATTCGGGGTCAATCATACCAAACTCAAGGGTTGTTAATCCGGATCTTTATATAATGCCGTAATACGCCCTTCCTCTTTTACTCAAGGGTTGTTAATCCGGATCTTTATATAAATGCCGTAATACGCCCTTCCTGTTTCAAGTATCTAAGGGTTGTTAATCCGGATCTTTATATTAATGCCGTAATACGCCCTTCCTCTTTCAAGTCTCTTATCCTTATTTAAGGATCTTATCAGAAGAACAATATTCATAAGTGTAATTTCCCTAGGTATAACTTGGTTAGTTTCCGGGACTTTCTGGTTATCCACTGCCGTGATATTTTCTAGGGTAATCCACTTATCTTATCTTTTGACCATTAGTTAATTTATCCTAGTTTTCTTAACAATGGCCACCTCAGGTTTTGATCTCCAGGATTTTATTGAAAATCCTTCCGTAGCTAAATTACGTGTTAATATCCTGAAGAAAGAATGGAAAGAAATAGCCAACTATTACAATATCCCATTTTCACAGCAACTGACTAAGGAAATGTTAAAAAATCATGTAATTGAAATGTTGGTTCAACAAGAAGTTTTAAAAGAATCCGCTGTTGACCGATTAACGCCCATGTCCAAGAAACTTCAACCACTATCCACCACCCCTCCTCACTCGGAAGTTGCCTCAGGTCTGGCTAGCCCTCAAGAAAAAGCACAAAGAGTAGACGCCTTAGAACTAGAACGAGCTAGGTTCGAGTTCCAAATCAAAATGAAAGAACTCGAGTTGAAACAGGCCAAGTTGGAACAGGCCAAGTTGGAGCATGAGGAAAAGTTGGAGCAGGCCAAGTTGGAGCATGAGGAAAAGTTGGAACAGGCCAAGTTGGAACAGGCCAAGTTGGAGCATGAGGAAAAGTTGGAACAGGCCAAGTTGGAGCATGAGGGAATGTCGGAACAGGCCAAGTTGGAGCATGAGGAAAGGATGGAACAGGCCAAGTTGGAGCAGGAGGTTAGACTGAAAGAACTACAGGTGAGAGAGACAGAAGTCACCTTAAAATCGGAGTTTAAATCAAAAGAAGTGGCATTAAAAGAGAAACTAGCTGCTTTTAACCCTGCTAATGCTTCTTCCCTTGTTCCCGGGTTTGATGAATCCGATATGGACGGGTCATTTAGGACTTTTGAGAAAATAGCCGGGAAGAATGAGTGGCCAAAAGACCAGTGGGTGTCGGTGTTAGTTCCTAAATTATGTGGTAAGGCTCGTAGAGTTTATAACTGTTTAGACCAGACTGATGATTATGATAACATAAAAAAGAATATCCTCACCTCTTATGCTATCACGCCAGATGGATACCGGCAGAAGTTTCGTAAACTAACCAAACCATTTTCATACACCTTTGTTGAGTTTGCTCAAGAAAAGCTTAGGTTTTTTAAGAAGTGGTTAGGGGCTACAGAGACCTCCACATTTCAGGATTTGTTAAATTTGGTAGTCCTGGAGGAGTGGAAGAGCAAGATACCATTTCACATCTTGAAGCATGTGGAGGAGCGTGGAGAGGTTAATTTAGGGCGTGTGGCTGAGCTGGCTGATGCGTACGCCTTGCTGGTGGAGTCACTGGGCAGTAGAGAACGTGGTACTTCCCGACATGTTAGGTCCTCCTCTGATGATAACCTTGGGGGCGTGAGTGGTAGGTCGAAAGGTCCCACACCTATCCCCCCTGATGCAACCAAGTTTACTTGTTCTTACTGTAAAAACCCAGGCCATACGATCCAGACTTGTAAACACCCAAAGTGTCGAATTGCTAAAAGTAGTTCCCTGGATCCCAAATCCAAACCAATAGCAACCACCAATGTGGAAAGGCCCCATCAGGATCTCTTCTCTTCATTCACCTATGAGGGAAAAATTTCAATCATAGAGGGGTCTCGTTCTTTCCCTATTCGTATACTACGTGATACGGGCGCAGCACAATCTATCCTCCTGTTTAACGTCATTCCTGATATATCTACCGCATTTACTAATGAGAGTGTTCTAATTTCAGATCTCTCATCCCATTCTTCCTATCCCTTAGCTAAAGTGCACCTCCAATGTCCCTTGATTACTGGGGAAGTGCAAATAGCCATTAGGAAAGATCCAATGCCTGTGAGCGGCATTCATTTATTATTGGGTAATGACTTGGTAGGAGATCTAGTGGTTCCCAACATAAAGACAGTCGACTCTCCCTTACCTGTCAACTCCACCACTGACCTTGAAGAAACTACTCCTCACCTTTTCCCATCTTGTGCTGTCACCCGGTCACAGAGTGTGCGTAATGGGCCCTCTTCATCTAAAACCACCTCCAATATCTTCCTACCCACAGAAGATCTGTACAATAAGACCATTAGTAAGGCTGAGCTCATTAAAGCCCAACAATCTGATCCATCTTTGAATATGAAAGACCTCAGTGTGGACCATTGCACATCTTCGGCTTACCACCCACAATCACAAGGTTGCTTGGAACGGTTCCATCAAAACTTTCAAATCAATGCAAATAAACTATCTCCCCTCAACTATATAGTCCATACTCCTGATCGCCGAAAAGATTCACAACTTGTTCACATTAATCTCATGAAACTTTACCATTCCAGGCAGTCAGAGGAAGACATCCCAGAGGCTATAAGCTTACCTGTATTGCATACGGTTTTGTCAGGGCCGGAGCCGGACACAGATGACATGGATCTATTGGAGAATTTAGACTTCCCTCTACCTAAAGAAAACCCTGCTAACAGTCACATACTCAACAACTTGGATGAGTATTTTTCTGTTCTGAATCCATCTCGAGCAAAAGATCTCACTAAGTTGTTATCGACATTTCCTAAAGTCACGTCAGACCTCCCAGGGTTTTGCAATATACTTAAACATGATATTAAGCTAATCTCAGATGATGTACAACCCATTAGGCAATCAGCATATCGACTAAATCCAAAAAAGAGAGATTATGAAAAAGGAGGTAGACTTTTTGTTAAAACATAACTTAGCTGAGCCTAGTACCTCCCCCTGGGCTTCACCTTGCCTTCTCATTCCAAAACCCGATAGCACCTTTCGTTTCTGTACCGATTATCGTAAAGTGAACCAGGTCACTGTCTCAGACTCCTACCCTTTACCTTTGATTGAAGATATAATAGACAGCATAGGCTGTGCCAAATTTATATCTACCATGGACATGTTGAAGGGATATTATCAAGTGGGACTCACGGATAGGGCAAAAATAATCTCAGCATTTATAACTCCATTTGGTCTTTTTCAATATTTGGTTATGGCGTTTGGCTTTTCTAATGCTCCGGCCACATTCCAGAGGGCCATCAATTACCTGATTCAGGACCTAGGTGGGACGTTCGCCTACCTGGATGACCTGGTGGTGGTGTCGGACGGCTGGGACGAACATCTGGTGCGTTTGGAGATACTGTTTGCACGACTGCAAGAGACTGGATTCACCATAAACCTGGCTAAATCTGCTTTTGGCCGGGCCTCGGTGACTTACCTGGGACATATCGTTGGGCATGGTATGGTGAGACCCAAGGACGCAAACGTTAAAGCCATCTTGTCCTTCCCCACTCCAAGGACGAGGAAGGAACTCATGCGCTTCCTGGGGATGTGCGGCTACTACCGTCGGTTCTGCAGTAACTTCTCCAGCGTGGCCGGACCCCTCACAGACCTTACCAGTTCTGCGGTCCCTTACATCTGGAACCAGAGGTGCGACCAGTCTTTCCACCGCCTCAAAGCCTTCCTTGCCTCCAAGCCTGTAGTCCACCCCCCTGACTACACCTTGCCCTTCCATCTGCAAATCGACGCTAGCGGTGTCGGAGTGGGGCTGTGCTCCTACAACCCGACCCAACCACTGATGTCCTTCACCCTGTGGCATACTACTCCGCCAAGTTGAAAAAACATCAGACCAACTACTCGACCATAGAGAAGGAGGCCCTGGCTCTGGTGTTGGCAATAAAGAAGTTTGAATGTTACCTCCAGTCTTGCCCACAAACAACCCTAGTCTTCACCGACCATAACCCACTCACGTTCATCCAAACCAACAAGACCTCCAACCAGCGAATCCTCCGCTGGGCTCTCCTCACCCAGCCCTATAATCTACAAGTCCGGCACATAAAGGGGGTGGACAACCTGATTGCGGACTCCTTATCCCGAGCTCCAGTGGAAATGCAGCAGCTACTCTCCAGACGCACCAGGTGATCACCTCCTTCGCGCCCGCGCTATGGAGGTCTTTGGAGGGGGGGTGTATTACGAACCACGCCACAAATTGTCATGATCTACCTACCCAGCACTACGAACCACGCCATCTATTGTCCTGATCTACCTACCCAGCACCACGAGCAACGCCATCTAGGGACGAAACCCGATTATGACTACTCTTAGTTACCACTCCGGGGTTTCCCTTCTCCATATCCTGGTTGTTGCGTCACCTCCTCAAAGTCTTCTTCGTCAGCTCCAGTTCGATGAGAGAGCAGTTCACTCTGGGAGGTGACCACAGGATCACCTATCCTGGAAACCTACGGCGCAGTGACTACCTACCGTCTTCTACAATACTCAGCCTTACTCGTCGGCCATCTCAGCTCCGCACTTAAGTATTTGTAATCTTATATTGCCTCCCCCACGTCCACTTGCTTCAAATTATTGTATGTTGTATAAATATGTATATACTGTTAATGTTTAGGTTAAGTATGGTTAAGGGTAAATTATAGAAAGCTGAATATTTTGTTAAGGAATTTATGGTACTTTATTATACACAACAAAAACTCGCATCCTTTGTCTACCCTTTTATAGTCCGATTGTCTTTGTTTGTTTTTTTTTGTTGCCTGTTGGGATCTGGGTAGACTTTTAACTATATTCTAAATCCCCAACTCGTAACAATGGGTAGATGAACCGCGTAAAGTGAAAGTTCGGTTCTGGCGAGGCACCGCGTATATGAGAAATCGCGTAAAGTGAAACCGCGTAAAGCGGGGTACAACTGTATTCTAAAATTTAATAATTACATACAGTTCTGTATACCAACATCCACATAACACAAAAAATATCCAAAATGTATAAAAATATTCTATGATTTACTAAAATGTAAAAATAAATGATGAAAATCCCAATACAGTATTATAAAACTGACTAAAGTGACTGCTTCCCATAACCTCGAGCAGACCCTACAAATTGACCCTAGGCGGCTGGACCTCAGTTGCAAGGTTCAAGCACATACCATGAACTAATTCTATACACAACACGATAATTTACAAATTCATGATATAAAAAGATGTTATTGTGAGGGAGGGAAGAGGTCGGTACTTACCTCTAACGCGATGAAGAGTGCTTTCTTCTGGGCCGCGGCCTTCTCGTGTACGCCGCGGGCAGCCTTCTCCTCCTCCAGCAGATCCTGTAGGTGGGGAGGTTTATATCTTTCACTGTGTCTCTATATTTATCACCTCTATCTATTTATACTATCTAACTGCAGTATTATCTCTATCTATCCAACTATCCTTTCTATCTATCTAATAAACTACTGTATATAACATTCTATCTAATATCTCTATCTAGCTATTTGTCTATATTTTTGTCTGTCTATCTGTTTATCTATGAACAGTTAAATTATTAAACTCAATTTTTCACTCTTCAGTCCATTAACTTTGACACCCTCCATCACGGTCGGTGATGCCAACACAAAATTGTGATGAAAATAATTTGACGAGAAGGAAAGCCTAAGTAAGCCACTGCTAAATGTATGTGTTACTTCAGCCACTGGTGGGACTGCCAAGTGGATAATTAAAACGACAACCTGGAAATATAACACATCCCATGGCATAATGCATGGAATGTAAAATAAATCAAATTTAAATGACTATCGAAGAAAACTTTTAAGTTTTTTGATACAGTAAATTTTTCTAAGTTTTGAAAGAGATATAAATCATTAAAATATCAGATGAATGTACAGTATATTTGCAGTTATCATCTCAGTTATCAGAGGAAGAGAAGATTTAATTCTCTTGTTAGCAGTAGTTGTCAACCAGTACTGTACACTTGTACAGTACTGTATATTATATGTGCGGATGAAAACAAATACTTAAAATCAACTTTTTCATATCACTATATATACCCTGTACAGAATACTGTATAGATATAATCATTCTTACCTTAATTCTTAGAAAAGCCCATAATCTCTTAATAAAGTTTTTGGGTGTGGGGGCAAGATGCAGGTGGTCCAGCAAGTGGTGGTCAGGTGGAACCACTGTGTTCCAGTCAGTCACTCCCATGAAGAACTCTCCGTTGCGTCCCTGGCCGGTGATGTTTGCCCGGATGCTTCCTTGCTGGTCTGGCTCTGTCTGCCCTGTAACTACCAGCTCTGTACCCTGAAAAACCAACATAAAATAAATTAGAGAAAGGAGATTTTTTTTTATATAAAAGGTTGTCAAAGTAAACAGAGGTTGATCATACTTACTAAGGGATGTATTTTGCCACATATGAATCATTTCTTTATTTGTCGTCATAATCTTCTCTGGCCACAGTTACATTATATATAATAACACTCGGTAGTTTTGTACATATTATTAATCTTACCCCAAAATGTTCAAGAAAAACTCAAGTTAAAAGATGAATCAATATACAAAATTAACATTAAAATTATTACTAATCCTTCCAGGCAGAACTTCAACTAAAGACCTACAGTAAGACCTTCTGATCCTGAGAACACATTTTATGATCAAGCAGTGTGGAACAGCTCAGGTGAGAGGAACTACCACAGCCAGTTAAAATGTTTGGTGACTTGATAAAGTGTCACTCAGGATACAGTAACAGTCATTATACAGTGAAGCCAAGAGGTGTCTCACTACAGTACATCTCAATCATCTTGTGGCGTCAAACTTACTCGGAAGTAATTGTAAAAATGTGTCCTGCTGAGTGTGTCCATCTGTACAGCATCTCCTGAATAACTAAACTGGACATCAAGGAGGATTGGGGTTGACAGCTCCTGGTAGAAACCCTTCAGTTGTTCGGCTGCGTCTTGGTCCTCGTAGATTTTCCGAGCACTTCCACGGTTCTGTCAAGATGATTTGTGAGTCTTGAAGAACTCTTTGAACAGCTGGGAATATGTCTATGATTGAATACAAGAAGATAATTCATTTATTTATTTTTATCCTTTGGTTGACAAAGGAACATGTAAGATGGCATTATGATTCACAAATTCTTAGTTAAAACATTAAAATTGTTGTTAATTTCTTCATAAGGGTTTTGCAGTACAGTACTTTATATATACACAAACAAAACTGTTCCATACAAGTTTAATTTTGGTTAACAGATTGAGAAAATAAAACCAAATAAAACTGATAAATATAAAAATATCTTTTATGTTTCATTTATAGATTTTTCAGATGATTAAATTATCTCTTACAGTAAACATGACCAAATTAACATGAAGTGTGTGAATATCTATATATACAGTGGGACCTCCATATAATGGACATCAATCTAATGGATATAGCCAGTTGATGGATGATTCACATCTAACAGACCTCCATATAATGGACTGTCTTCTCCTAAATCCTTTACTAACCTGAAGGGCTATTTTTTCCAGAAGATTCATGTCTGCTCCACTGCCAAAACCCAGGCAGAATATAGCGGCTCCTTCCATGTTTCTCTCCCTGACATTCCTTAAAATGGCCGACTCGGAAGTGACTCCAACACTGGGTAAGCCATCAGTCAGGAACACAATAATATGTGGGCGCACTGACTCTGACACTAGCAAATCCATCTCATTCTCAAGGGCCACCTGCAAGAATGGTTCATAAAACTTTAAGTTCACAAAAGCAATAATCCCAAGAAGCACATGTGGAACTCTGGATGGTGTGAGTCAAGCTGAGAAGGGGCTGTAAGGAAGATCTTTCAGACTTCTCATATTTCACAAAAGCATTTTTATCTTCATTATTTTAGAATGATAAGGAATTTACTTTGTGCTCTTCAGCCAAATAAATTCAATCAAAGTAAATAAGCAGCAAAAAGAATCCTTATAAGTACAATAATGTATTTAGCTGAGAGAAACAGAAAAATCAAACACATTTTAATAACTTATGAAAGAAAAAGCATTCTTCCTCTCTCAACAGAAATTATAACAATTGTGCTCATGTCCACCATCCCACAATGAACTTATGACTTAAACAAAATATTCTACAGACACAAACATCCAGAACATAATAGTGCAGTGAGAGGAGCACATCACAGGTGGTGCAGATATGTGCAGTGCAGTGCTGGTGCGGTGCTTCACAGGTGTGGTACACAATATAGGGATGTGCTCAAAAAGTAACTTACAAGAGATCTGAAATAAGGTACAGTACAGTTCAGTACTGTATACAGTATATAAAATAAAGTAGTGATGTGGGAAGTATTAAGTGCACTTGAAGAAAAACACCATAACAAAATTATAATAGACAAGTTTAAGGGTCTGGTGCTCAGGTGCTGTCATAAGGAAGTGCACAAAGAGAGAGAAGGGAGGTGAGGTCCATGTCAGTCTCCACTGTTGCCACTAGTAGTTATGGAACAGGTTACTACAGGACATAAAGTTATAAAATACTTCTTGTACTGATGAAGAACCACAAACAATTTTCCATATAGTATAAGATTTTGGCAACAATGAAGAATAAAGAAAATTCTAATAAAATAATATTTCATCTTCAAACATACATTCATCGTTGGGCCTCAACCAGAGGAAAGAAATGAGGTGCATTAAAACATGGGCGGCGACATAGCTGTCTCTGCCTTGCGTGAACTCCTACAGCAATTTGGGTGTTTATAAGTGAAGTGGCAAGAACAAAATAAAGACTGAAAATAAATGTGGAATATATCATATCAAGTTAAATGTTTGGCTACTCAGATGAAGCCAACACAAAGTGCTATTTAGTGTCATCTCAATGATGATACTAATTGGGCAATACAATCTTCTCCTACTTGAGGGAGTGAAACATGAATTTTGTGGGTGCGACAGAGTGTCACATTACAGAGACAAAGACAACACAGTCATCCCAAAGCTCGTGAAGAAGCATGACAGTCTTCTTCTTGGCTAGTGATAAGGCAAAATGGTCATCTCCTGGGCCTGTGAGGAAGTGTTACCGGTTGCAAAGATAAGTTCGGCTTGCGTCCAATGCTCCTGCCTTTGACTGTACACGCTTGAAGATAATTATGATGTGGGAAATGCATCTTTGGGAGCGGCCGACGCCGAGAAAGCGCCATCTGAGGGAGGAAGGGGAAAACCAGCTTAGGCAGAAGCCCTCACATTTGCTGTTCTTCCACCACACTGGAGCTGATCTCTCAAGACTCGTTGGACTTCATTCAAAAGCACATCTTTTACAGTGCTTGAAATGGAACACATTTCCAGAAACCTCACAAGGTAGTTTTCAATGAACAGGAAGGTACCACCAGCCTGAGACTGTGGAGGTATACAGGGGGGTACCACCAACCTGGAACTATGGAGGCATATAAAGGACTTCCTATAATATAATATAGGAGTTTCTGCTGTGATTCTCCATCCATTTCAAGCACTAACTCAACATTCGTACTTCAGACGACACTCCCACGCGCACCAAGATCTCCCGGGAACGTCTCTGACTCACCGCGTAAAAGATGGAGTTTTTGAGGCACTATAAACCATGTTATGGTCAAACCCTCCAGAAACAATCACTCACTAGATTCTACAAAGAATCACGTGATGCTGTACATTGTGAGAAGATCACCACCTTCACTGGACTGGACTGGACACACTTCATAACACACAAACATTGCAGCTTTTCTCATACCAGACGTAATGCTGCACACTGTACTGTACTGCGTGCAGATTGGAAAATAAAATACAGTACAGTCCTAATAATTTCACAATCTGGATATGTCAAACATACACACGCGCATAATGATATATCATACATTTAGTTATTTAGAAAATGCTTAAAATTATGTCAAATTTTGAACATTAAGATACTGTACTGGATACTTAATGGCATTGTAGAATATAATGGATTAAAAAAAGAAGCATTTATTACATATGTGATTAAGCTACTAAATATGTGTGTGTGTGTGTGTGTGCATATACAGTATGAGTGTATGCATGTGCATATGTATGGTATGTGAGTACAGTATATGTGTGTGTGTCAGAGAGAGAGAGAGAGAGAGAGAGAGAGAGAGAGAGAGAGAGAGAGAGAGAGCAGTACAACATAAAGAATAAATTAGATACATAGACAAGATATACAATGACACATACAGTACATAATAAACCACATATGTACAGAAGCCAACACATGGAGGTGCACTTACATACAATATACATTACAGTACACCCTTTCTCTTATCTTACAGTGTAACCTCTATCTAACCAACTACATGGAGATGAAAGTCCATTATATCGAGGGTCCGTTAGATGTGAAAACACCATCTCACGGCTTGCATGGAGAGAGAAGTTCACTATATGGAGGTTTCGCTGAACTCTCAAAATTTGGGCGTTAAGGACAAGACCAACACCTTCATTATACTGTACTACGAGTAATTAACGGTGGAAATCCCTAATGACAATTAACCTGATTATGTTTCCAGAAATGATAAATAATGGAGGGAAACACGTCATCACTTTTGAGGTCCTATAATGTACAAGTTCTGGATCACAGGAAGATTTGCAAACCCATTTATTTCACCTGATGATTAAACACTGTATTGCTATGTAGAGGGGTTAGGTTAGGTTAGGTTAACATCTGGGTGTCTAATCATCAGATGAAATAAATGGAAGTTGGTAATTTTCGTGAGATACACCAATTTACATACAATATTTCTCCCATTATCATACGAGGAAAGAGATAGTGATTATAATTCTTAATGTTTAGTTATAAAGAAGCATATTATTTAAACAAGGAGAATATATTAAAAGATAATAACTGTAACACTGTGACCCATTAACACAGGTATCTTTAAAAGCTCTTAATATTTCATCAATGACCATTTAAAGTTCAATGCTGAAATTGACATTACATATAAACACAGTATAGAGTGACAGTGGCTTCATCTATAAAGATAAAGCAAATACAGTCAACCCTCACTTTACGCGGTTAATGTAACCCGGAGGGTCCCGCGGAAAGTGAGGAACGCGTAAAGTGAATAACATAACATATGGGATTAATTGAAATAGAGTCCAGGCCGACCCCCAAACTCCACTTTTTGACGACACACAACTATGTTGTAGTAAAAATTTTATCTTAACTTTATGATGGCATGAAAAAACAAGTAATATAGAAGAGGTTAGGTTAGGAAAAATAAAGGTTAACATAGGAAAAATAAAGGTTAGGTTAGGAAAACTAAAAGTTATGTGGAACACTTACGTTAGTAGAAGAGATGGGTCGGCATACGGGGATGGAGGCTGGTTCCGAGGCAGAGGGCAGATTACTGGCCCTCAGGTGAATCACCATTACTAGGTGAATCACCATCACTGTCACTTACAGTTGTCAGGGCTTCCCTGACAAATCCCTCAAAGTCATCTTCACTGTCACTATCACTGGCTTGGGCTGGCTGTGGTGGGTTGCGGGCGAAGAAATCTGTTATGCTTTGCTGACGGCTGGTGTTGATGTTGTCGTGATACACCTTGATGTAGGGCTCCATAGTCTGCAACAGCTGGGTAGTGAAGATTTCATACCTGTTTGCGTCAGGGTCGTCGGAAAGGAGGAGCTTGGCTTTCTCGATACACTCGATGGCACCCCTAACATTACTATGGGATAAGTGTTGTTCTTCTTGGGATGACGCACCACCTGCCTCTTCACTGACGTCGTCATCATCATCATCTACCATCTCCTCGGTAGTCACATCAGGTTCCATTATCACCTCCAGGATGTCGTCGTTGGTGGTCTCGGAGAAGCCTGGAACTGTAACAGTCTGCGCAGCTTCTCTGGCAAGGTCCACTGCTACTGCAACAGTCTGAACCTCACCAGTCACAGATTGACTCCTCCTCTCACCTGGTATTCCATACAACACATGTCTCCATGCGTGACGAATTGTAGCAATAGACAGCTGATCCCATGACTCCACCAAGAAGTCCACAGCTTTCTTGATGTTAAATACTCTCCAGAATTGTTTGAACAGTATTTTTTGCTGTGCCAACTGTTGATCCTCATCTTCTTCGCTCTTGCTATCGGTGGTGGTGTCACTCAGGTTGCGCAACTCTTCCCTGGTGTTGGTGTAGTCGTTCAGGAGTTTGAATTTTTTCGTAGAGAATGCAGCTTTTACATTACAGATTAACTCTTGGTCCATGGGCTGTAATATAGACGTAGTGTTGGGAGGAAGGAAGACCACTTTTACGTTGGGGTGACGATCTAACAGTAGGGGCGAGTGTCCTGGTGCGTTGTCCAGCAGCAACAAAATCTTGAATGGCACATTCTGTTGCTCACAGAATTTCTTTACATCGGGAACAAAACAGTCATCAAACCAGGAGAGGGACAGTGTAGAGAACATCCACGCCTTACGTGCGGTCAGCCAGTGGACATTTAGCTTGGTCATGTCCATGGTTTTGTAAGCGTGCGGCTTGTGTGCTGTGTGGATCACCGATAACTTGAGCTTACTGGTACCGGAGGCATTGGTGGTAAACAGGACGGTGATGCGTTCCTTCTGCATCTTCCGGCCCCGAATCTTGCTGGCATTCTTTACAACGAAGGACTTGGAAGGTAGCTTTTTCCAGAAAAGACCAGATTCGTCCATGTTAAACACCTGGTCGTCACTGTACTGTCCTTCCTCCATAATCTCACGTAAAAACGGAGGAAATTCCCTAGCCGCAGCACGGTCACCACTCACTTCTTCACCACCAATGTTTATATTGGTGATTTTGTTCCGGATCTTAAACCTCTGTAACCACCCAGAGGAAGCATTAAAGGGTTTGGGCTCTGTAGTTCCCAGCTTTCGTGCCACTGCCATGTACAGTTCACGTGCGTAGTCCTTAACAGAGCGCGTGTCGACCGCCATGTTCCGTCGCGCCTGACGCACCAAGTACCTCACAAGTAATTTTTCTGTCTTGAGAAGCACCTGGTTGTGAAAATACTTGATCATAGAAGCACCTGTAGACTTTGTGATCTTCATGTGCTCCTTTATCTTGGCTGCATCCTTCTTTATTGTTCGAATCGTAGATTCATTCACACCATGCTGGCGCGCCAAATCAACCTGCCTTGTTCCTTTCTCCAACTCTTGGATGATGGTATACTTCACCTCGTAGCTTAAGGAACGTCGTGTCTTCTTTGGCTTAGTGCCGCTGGGTCCAGGTAAGGAAAGGTTTCTCTCTGGGGGTGGTGGTCCGGCAGAAGCCATTTTAGAGAACAGTGGATGCACGTTTACACGGTCTGGCGTGGAGGGATGAAACTGGCGCGGCTAGGTCAAGGATCATCTTTCCTCCCTCCCTCCCTCCCCCGGGTGGACACGTCATAATACTTTAAGCCAATTACAGCTAGCAGCAGAGGGGGGTAGGGATGCATGGCCAATCACAGTCCGATACGTCATATGAAATGAGTGATAACGCAACAAAGACACACACTGTGCAACCTTACCGAGCGGCTTGCCCAAGCGGAGGGAGGAGGAGGGAGAGGCGAGAGCACAGGCAGGCAGGCGGGTGGGGTGAATCTAAAAATAGCGTCGCGCCGGACACTCTCCGCGTAATGGGGTTCACGCACCGCGTAATGTGAGCACGTTAGGTTCTGGCAAGGCACCGCGTTAACGTGGAAACGCGGAATGTGGGACCGCGTAAAGTGAGGGTTGACTGTATGTCCATTTTGTACAATAAAAGTTGTTAATTTTTCCATTTGCTGTAGTGGTGTCTGCCTAATAATTAAACAAGAAAATGTTGATGCAGGATGGCAGATGAGATGAACCAACCCATCACTCCAGACTAAACCTTAGCCTAATTTGTTATTCTTGTATTATATCAATAGATTTTATAAATATATTCTTCTGCTTCAGGTAAGGTCAACAGGTACAGTAGTGTAATGAAAATCTCAGGTATTCTAAGTTCCATATTTCCTGTAAGTATTCAATGTGGTAAACTTCCCGAAGGGCAACATAACCCAAACTCTCATATAATTGGATTTATTACTCACAGAAGCCAAATAAAAATAATATTACCTGTAGTGTACAAAGTACAATTATGAAGTAACAGAAGAAAAGGAGGACAACTAACTGCTGCCATCAATCATTTATCTTGCCCAAATTTAATCTCCAACCAAAAAATCCAATCTATTTTTTGCCCTAAAGGAAACTGCTGCCTAGAGGAAGGTGATCGGCGTTTTCAATGTTTTGTGTCCACAGGCCTGAGCTTCTTAGTGATGCAGCACCATGAGAATCTTGTATACTGGTGGGAAATATAATAACTTTTCTAACAATGAAGAAAACACAAGTGGTCCCAGAAACTGTCACAATATTTGTCCTTTCCCATGAGCTGACAAAGAAGGCACAGGGAAAAACTCAAGACTTAGTGCTTTACAAGGAAGTACTGTAGAAGCATCTGTTCACAACTACTGTAGAAAGTGAGAGAGCTTTTGTAGGAGTGAACAGTTCCATCCAGCAGTGACGCCTTATCTTCTGCATGGTACTATTACACTGTGATTTTTTTTTTTTAGTAAATCTGACAAAATGTTTCTATTCCTTTAATCTTATGTCTTTTCAAACAAAACATATGTACACTCACCCCAGGAAGTATCTTTACGGATGGATCCGATGAATTTCAAAATGAATACTGAGACTCTTGTCCTGGCAGGGTTGTCAAAATTCTTCCTCCGTTGTGTCACATTGTCTCGCATAAAATCGTAGAGATCTTTTTGGAATGAGTGTACGCATCTAAGCTCTAATACTTTAAATAGACTCTAATACATAATGTGTACAAGAGGTTAAGTAGAGGCAAGACTCACTGCTGGGTGGTGACCTCATGCTCAAGAGAAGGCTGGGCAGTGTGTGTCAACATTAAGGGAGAGACAAACGACTGGCATGTTGAAATTTCATGTGTTTTAAGAACATAGGTGTTTATATCATATCATTTAGTCCTCTTTTAAGTTATATAAGAAATAAGAATAACATATTTCAACATGCAGATTTACCCATGTGTATCAAATCAATGTTAAAAAGAATATTCAAGATGCTACAGCCTTCATCTCTGTCAACAAACACAAGGAGGTGAATCAGTTCAGACGACAAACCTTAAGACCACCGTCAATGTTTGTTCCTCCATCGGCCTCCAGGTTGTTGATGTATTTCTTGGCTTTTCTTATGGCCATGGCGGTGTACCTCATCGTTCCAAACTTGTGAGACGAGGAAGAGAAGCGGATGATGTTGAACGAGTCTCCCTGGTTGAGATCCGTCAAGATGTGGCGCATGGCTTCTTTAACCTGTAATTATACAACTATTGTAATTTGACAAGTGTACTAAAAAAAAAAGTATCCATAAAAGGTCAACAAATTCCATTAGTTACTATATTTGTTTTTTAATTGTTATGTCCACAGGAAATATGTCTTCTTTAACATGTCTTTTTGTGTTATGTTATCTCACATATTTGGTCTATCCCATTGTCTAAATCTCAAAAGTCTTCTTCAATCTGTAACTTTGTTTATAAATGTACTGGCCTTGTATGGGTTCAAGTTTAATATTTGTGTAAGACAAAAAATGTACATCAAGCAGTTTTTATTGAAATAAAGTTTAAAATAGAAAAATTAAAATAACATGGGTACATAGTCTTACCTGTTCAAGTTTTAGTCCTTCCATCGACCCTGAAACATCGATCAAGAAGGTGATGTGCTTAGGGGTGTACTGCAGGTCAATGGGAGCGAAGAAATGCACAAAATATCCATCTTCAACCTGAAAATGAAAATGATTCAATAAAAATTACTCTAAATCAGCCCACAGGAGAGACAATACTGTACCTCTGGCCACATGTGCTGTACTAGCTGTGTAGTTCAACTGTTAGTCCACTTATCAATTTTGAAAAAGCAAATTTTGGATGATCATGATTAACATACTGTACATGGACTGAGGGCCAACAAGTTCCCTTATAGGAGCTTTGCAATGCTAAAATATGACCTGGGCAATTGTCAGGTATTGTACAACTTAACAAAATCTTTTACATTATTTCTAGCAAGATAACTACTGTACCAACACCTGTCATTATAATAGGTGACAATTTTGATTAGTCCAACATCAAAAGGCTCACCTCTTTGATCACTAAGACTAGTGGCCACTGCTTCTGACTTGACTCTACAGGTGTGAGGGAAGTCTCTCTCTCTCTCTCTCTTTTGTGTAAAATACAGCCAATGATCAGTTATTAGTCCAATTTCTTATGTTAACTAAGACTTGCAAAACTATATCATCCTCACTTGCACATCGCCAGCATCCAGCGCTCTCTCTACATCATAGTGAACCACCAGCTGGCCGTGGATGACTCCGTTGACTGGTATCATCTCTGGGTCTGGGTCAAAATGTAGGCGTGCTGTTTTGCCTCCTTCCCGCCACTCAGAAACTGTTAATTGACACCTCGCATTATTTTCATGATCAAATTGACTCTGTGGCAACTGTGGTGATTATTAGTATAAATGCATGCAAAATATATGTACAGACATCTTCTGAGAAAAATATACAGTACAGTACTACTCCTGGAGTGTCTCTGACCCTGTATAGCTGTCTCTTGTTGACAAAATGAAGTTTTGCAACAGTAACACAGAAGTAAAACATAAAATCCTCTTTCCTTCACCACTACAGTCTACAATTATTGTCTTAATATCTACTGTACGTTAGCAACTTAAGACAACAACTGCCCATATTCTTCTCCTAAACAAACAGCACAAGACTGACCAACATACATCTCATTAATTTCTCATATCTTAGTTCTCATGCAGCCAATGACATCATACAGTACAGTACAGTATAGTGTTCTAACACGTAACTTGCCTTCTTAACTAAGCACTTTAACACCATAATGTAACCCTAAAGTTTAAGGAGAGCAACACGTAATGCCAAGATCAGTTTAAGGTTGAACTATCACTTATTAAATGCCTCGGTAATTGTGGAGGAAGCAGATGAAACCAGAAGGAACTTATGGAATTTAACTAAAATTTCCAGAGATGTAATTTGCATGGTACCAATTAAGAAAATTGATACGACAATGCACAAAACCTAACAAGACCTGACCTGACCTAACCTGACCATACCAAACCAAACCTAACTTAACTTCCTAACCATGTTAAAATTACAGATTCACTTCCCAATAGTTTAAGAGCAGAACAGCACCATGGTCACTACTGGAGATTTGACATCACCATATTTACGGTAAATAATTTATTCCTTCGCCTACAAAAAACGTAGATGTCAAATTAGTTTACTGCCATATGATCATTTTTTGCCATGTTTTACCCCAAAATATCCTCTTCTTTCATGCCCTACCCACTAACAAGGAATACGATATCGAAGGGTGGAGCTGCCCAAGTGGCTAACAAGCCGATCAGTGGTGAAGAGGAAAAAAATATATATTAATAATATTATAATAAATAAATAAATAATATAAAAGGAAAACAGTTGTTATGTAGTTCTAGTTACTTACTCTCATCCAAACAACATATCTGGAAAAAAAATTTAATTCTATAAACTCCTCCTGGTGTTAATTATCTCCTCCACTATTGCCAATGACTCACTCAGAACATGAAGATTAGGAGTCCCCACTTATGTAACTTAACAATTATGTAACTTAAAGCTCAATGGGTTAGAGGTTAAGTTAGGCTAGCATGAGGGTGTTAAATCAGGTGAAGAAACAGCTGTGGTTCCTAATTATCACAATAACCTTCAAGTCAATATAGGCATTGTATAACATCTTTATTACATAGTAATACAATTTGTATTCCTATGCAATAAAGATGTTAAGAATGTAGGTAAGGAACCCACATTAATCTCTCACCGGCATCTCTGAACTCCACTCCTCCTGGAACTTTCTTGACCTTAAGGAGGCTGATGTCTCTGGTCTCGTGGATGGTGATGTCGACCAGTAAGTCTCGTACAGGATAGCCGGGATGGACGTTGATCTTGTGGGCATAAGCTCCCAGTCGACGGACCAACAGTTCCTGAAGTAATAAAAAAAATTAGATCATAGATTTACAGACGTTATAATTTACTTTAACTGACAATCTGGTCAATAGGAAGATCACTGGGGAAGAGTTTAAAGTCATATTTTGATTGGAAAACGTCACTTAGGTCTGAGGTGGGCTGAGTTATATACTAATTTCTTGAGCAAACAATCCACGTAGAGACTTCCTGAAAGAAACTGTTTATATCAATCAAACAAATAAATAAACTCGAATGGTAATATGACAGTAACACAACTTTCTACCACAACCACTGTAGACCCCCCGCTCACCTCACCTAACCTAAATGCTACCTGATGGTCATGTCAAGTAAACATTAGGGTGTTAAATAACCAGATGAAATAAGCTGGGGTTTCTAATCTTCCTGATATACGAAAACTGTAAAATTTGCTTTTAAACAAAGTCATTACACAGCATCAAACTAGACATTGCTAATAAGATTCAATGTCACTAAATGTAAGAAGCTGCACCTGGGTCGTACCAACGGTAAGTAGATGTATTATATGTCCCAACGGGAAGAAGACACTGTATTAATTGAGACTGAATAGGTGTGTATGTTGACAATGAACTGAAGTTCTCGAGCCATTGTGAGAAGGTGAACCAAGCAACTAAATTATTAGGTCTTATAAGGTCATTCAGATATCTGCATGGTCCGTCCCTCGTAACGATCTTCAAAAGCGAGGTGCTTGAATGCTTTCCCACCTAGAGTACTAGAGAAGAGAGTGCTAGGGACTGTCAGTTGACTGATTGTGAGGGGCTGACATCACCGAGTGTGAGCTCATTCAAGGCCAGAGTTGCCCAGTATCTGCCAACAGTGCGTGTCAGAGGCGTGACAGACAGCCCATGCCATGCGGCGAAGAGGATAAAAGTAAAAAAAAAAATAATAATAAAGTTGTTGTCACTGTGTGTCTTAACTCTCAACTCAGATGTAACCCCATTTTCTGTTGTACTGTTTCCTCCGCAAAGGATAAATATACTGTATATAATAAAATACCTACCCAAAAAGTTAACTATATTTAATTTCATATTTCTAATATATCACTTAAGGGTACATTTTTTAGCGATGTAAATATTCCACAAATTGTTAACGACCAGGGAATGGCGCACTTGGCCTTGTTTCTATACGAGTGTGTGACAGTAAAGGCAGCTTGGTGTAGTGGATTCCTCCCCTGCAAACGCCGTTTGTCGCTGTGTAGCCGACCCTTTTCGAATTCCCCAGCCTACGCCTCCAGCGCCGCCTGACGGAGCGGGGGTCAACTATCAACCCACGCCTACCCCCGCCATATAAGACCTCACCCCGCTGTGACCACTCTCTTTCTACCTACTGCCACCAGCAAGCAACACCCCCTCCTCCGCTCCAGCCTGGCGGCTCCCGCTCCCGCCGGCGACCTTGGCGTCCCTCAAGCTGCATGCCCTCCTCTGGGCACCCTCACCAACGGGCTCTCTCTACTCAACGCTTGTAACCATGCTGCCTACCCGGCAACAAGCTGCATTGTACATCCAATAGAATATGTATACAGAGAGCACATTGTGAGTTTCCTTTCTCCAACCCATCCTGAGTGTGAACCAATATCTCACAACACTACAAATGGTGACCCCCGGAGATTTGCACTCACACAGGATGGAGGAGAAACTGATCACTCTCCCAGTCTTCAAGCAACATGGAAGACTGGCTTACCTACGCAGAGGCAGCTCTCATCGGCTCTACAACTACTGTCTCTACACCGCAGGTTAGACACCCAAGAGCAGCTCTGCTACTCTAAGCAGACAGCCGCCCCTCTTCCTGCCCCAAGCACCACGTCCTACTGACCCCAACACACCCGTTCTGCCTCAGACGCCGCCCCCAGCCCAGCAGTACCCCTTGCCGCTCCTCCTAACGCAGCCCCTGCTCCTGACACGGACCCACACACCCTACTTTTCTCCCTCAGGTACCCCCTGCTACTGTCTTGCACCCTGCTGCTGTCGTGGACCCTGCTGCTGTCATGCACCCTGGTGCTGTCATGGACCCTCTTCCTGACACAGCCCCTGCTCCTGACCCAGACCCACACACCCCAGCAGGCGCATCTGAGGACTCTGTGCCTGCCGCGAGGGAAGCACAACATTCATCGCCTCCACAACCCTCCTTCTCCCTCTTTTCTCCCACAGATCTCGTGTATCTAGACAGAGCTGTCCCCCCTAGCGGCCGGCTCATCCACGCCCTCGCCGTTATATCTCACATGTGGCATGCACCGCCCGTTCTGCCTCACATGTGGCACGCAACCCTGCCAACCTCCAGCCTCCCACCGTGCCCGGAGGGGAAGGGGAGTATTGTAGTGGATTCCTCCCCTACAAACGCCGTTTGTCGCTGTGTAGCCGACCCTTTTATAATTCCCCAGCCTACGCCTCCAGCGCCGCCTGACGGAGTGGGGGTCAACTATCAACCCACGCCTACCCCCGCCATATAAGACTTCACCCCGCTGTGACCACTCTCTTTTTACCTACTGCCACCAGCAAGCAACACCCCCTCCTCCGCTCCAGCCTGGCGGCTCCCGCTCCCGCCGGCGACCTTGGCGTCCCTCAAGCTGCATGCCCTCCTCTGGGCACCCTCACCAACGGGCTCTCTCTACTCAACGCTTGTAATCATGCTGCCTACCCAGCAACAAGCTGTATTGTACATCCAATACAAAATGTATATAGAGAGCACATTGTGAGTTTCCTTTCTCCAACCCATCCTGAGTGTGAACCAATATCTCATAACCCCAAAAATTTAGCGATGTAAATATTCCACAAATTGTTAACAACCAGGGAATGGCGCATTTGGCCTTGTTTCTATACGAGTGTGTGACAGTAAAGACAACTTGGTACAATAAAATGACATAGAAAGTGCTTATATGACACTGCCTTGAACTCGACTTCCACGGGATACAGAGAACGAGTAAGACAAACAGCAAAAGTCACCCCTAAAACAAAATATTCTCTGACAATCGTAACTTCCATTTTCTATGTAACACTTAAGAATTTTTCAATATTCTTTCCTTAGTCAGGTAACAGATCACATGAAGAATCACCACTCCAACTTATTTCACCTGAATATTAACCACCCCAACGCCATTTGGAGGGATGATATTAGTTAGCATTAGGGTGGTTAATCTACACGAGAAATAAGTTGGGATGGAGTGTAGTGGATTTCTCCCCTACAAACGCTGTTTGTCGCTGAGTAGCCGACCCCGCGAATTCCCCAGTGTATGCCTCGTGGTCTAGGTCAACCAGCGCCGCCATACATCACGGAGCGGGGGTCAACTACTAAGCCACGCCTACCCCCCCGCTATTTAAGACCTGACCTCATGGTGACCTGCCTCTTTCTACCTACAGCCGCAGCCAGCAACACCTCCTCCTCCGCCGCTGCCTGGTGGCCCTCGCTCCTCCTCCACCTGTCTGGCGGTCCTCGCTCCCGCCGGCGAGCATGGCGACCCACAAGCTGTCCTCCTGTGAGCATCCTCACCAACCAGCTCTCTCTACATCACGCTTGTAACCATGCTGCCTTCCCAGCACCAAGCTGCATTGTACATCCAATACAACATGTATACAGAGAGCACATTGTGAGTTTCCTTTCTCCATTCCATCCTGAGTGTGAACCAAACATCTCATACCCCACAATGGTGACCCCCGGAGATTCGCACTCACACAGGATGCAGGAGAAACTGATCACGCTCCCAGTCTTCAAGCAACATGGAAGACTGGCTTATCCGCACAGAAGAAGCTCTCATCGGCTCTACAACTACTGTTACTACACCGCAGGTTAGACACCCTAGAGCAGCACTGCTTCTCTAAGCAGACACCAGCTCCTCTTCCTGCCCCAAGCACCATGTCCTACCGACCCCAGCACACCCGTCCTGCCTCAGACGCCGCCCCCGGCCCAACAGTAACCCCTGCCGCCCCTGATGCGGCCTCTGTTCCTGAGTGCGGACCCACACACCCCTCTTTTCTCCCTCAGGTACTCCCTGCTAATGTCCTGCACCCTGCTGCTGTCGTGAACCCAGCTGCTGTCACGAGCCCTCACCCGCTTCTGCTGACGCAGCCCCTGCTCCTGACCCAGGCCCACACACCCCAGCAGGCGCATCTGACGACTCTGTACCTGCCGTGAGGGAAGCACAAAATTCATCGCCTCCACACACCCTTTTTCTCCCTCTCTTCTCCCACAGATAGTGTGTATATAGACAGTTGTATCCAGCGAGAGGCTCATCCACGCCATCGCGTTGTCTCACATGAGGCATGCACCGCCCGTTCTGCCTCACATGTGCTAAGCAACCCTGCAGACAACAAGTCTCCTACACCGCCTGGAGGGAAGGGGGAGTATTGTAGTGGATTTCTCCCCTACAAACGCTGTTTGTCGCTGAGTAGCCGACCCCACCAATTCCCCAGTGTATGCCTCGTGGTCTAGGTCAACCAGCGCCGCCATACATCACGGAGCGGGGGTCAACTACTAAGCCACGCCTACCCCCGCTATTTAAGACCTGACCTCGTGGTGACCTGCCTCTTTCTACCTACAGCCGCAGCCAGCAACACCTCCTCCTCCTCCGCTGCCTGGCGGCCCTCGCTCCTCCTCCACCTGTCTGGCGGTCCTCGCTCCCGCCGGCGAGCATGGCGACCCACAAGCTGTCCTCCTGTGAGCACCCTCACCAACCAGCTCTCTCTACATCACGCTTGTAACCACGCTGCCTTCCCAGCACCAAGCTGCATTGTACATCCAATGCAACATGTATACAGAGAGCACATTGTGAGTTTCCTTTCTCCATCCCATCCTGAGTGAGAACCCAAACAACCCGTACCCCACAGAAGATTCTAGCATAACTTGATATAATATTCTGTTCCATATCCATTCTTAGTTGTGTGTGTGTGTGTGTGTGTGTGTGTGTCTGTGCGTGTTTGGGAGAGAGATAAATGATGGGAAGATATCAAGAAGATAAATAAGCGGTAGGAGGCGAAAATTAACATATTTC